AAGTTCAGCTAACTAAATTGAAGTTTTTACAACTGAATCTAGTAAGTGCAGCTAACTAAAGTGAAGTTTTAAAAACTGAATCCAATACGTTCGGCTAACTAAAGCAAATTTAAAAAAACTGAATACAACAAGTTCGACTAACTTATGTGATCCTTTCAAAACTAAATACAATAAGTTTAGCTAAATTAAGTTTTTAAAACTGAATCTATCAAGTTCATCTAACTAAAGTGACATTTTAAAACTAAATCCAACAAGTTCAGCTAACTAAAGTGAAGTTTTAAAAACTAAATCCAACAAGTTCAGCTAACTAAAGTGAAGTTTTAAAAACTAAATCCAACAAGTTCAGCTAACTAAAGTGAAGTTTTAAAAACTAAATCCAACAAGTTCAGCTAACTAAAGTGAAGTTTTAAAAACTAAATCCAACAAGTTCAGCTAACTAAAGTGAAGTTTTAAAAACTGAATCCAATAAGTTCATCTAAATAAAGTGGTTAGCTGAGCTTTTCTAAATAATTAAGTAAAACTCAAAAAAAAAAAGTCCATGCAAGAAATGGACTCTTTTGTAAGTTGAGTCAACAAAAGATGTTTGTTTTCATGTCTTAACCACTGTCCCAATACTGCAATTTAAGAAGGACAGAAGCATTCGTGTATCCGGTTACATTATTTAAGAACAACATTATTTGAAATATTATTTCTGCTATATATTATTATTGAAAGTATAGATTTATTGTGATGTTTCTGTTGTGTTGTTTAACAAAGCATGTTTTTTTTTTACAGTATGTAGAAAACATTCTGGAGAAAGTCTTCTATTTTGGTTGCAATAACAAATATTTGTTAAAAATGTGAAAGCTGTTCAATTTTTTTTCTATTTGGTTTTTTCAATGGCTTAATTGACTTAACCTAAATTGACCAGTTGACCTTTACTGTAATTACCCTAAAAGTCTTTCAATAAATCCTTTTTAAAATATATAAAGCCTTAAACTGTATTTTTGTTTGCTATGTACAATTTTATTTACATTTAATCATATATATATATATTAAATGAGTAACTAAAAAATATTTTGTGCA